AGAGAGGAGGGGTAAGAGGACGGAACTACTCTGGAAAAGGAAGATGATAAAGAGGCAAAAATAACCATTTCCTGATTTTCTAACAACGACACGTCAACCACGTGGCGGACAGTCTGAAACAGTTGTTCGTAGGTCACAACAGGACGCCTGTTCACTGTGCAGCCGGGGGGGGGGGGGTCAGAGGGCTGCTTTTGTTATGAGTCAATTCAAAGGGAAGGGGATGCTTCATATCTAGAATTAAACCATGTTTTCCTAACAACTGAACTAACTTCCATATTCCTAACAATCATGGAACCATTCATTTCAGACATAGATCTGCCAGACTTGCAAATACCATCTTAAAACAAGTAAACATGCTTTACCAATCAAATCTGGATGTAAATATTTCATCTACATATTGCTATGAAAATGCATGTAGCGTTTCATAGCACGATTTTTAAATTACTTATTAGTATTTTTAATTGCACTGTTTCCCAAATACAAGGACAAACTCCTAACCATCCTTCTGAGCAGACCCACGTGGTGCTCCTGGACAACTGTTTTGCTTCCTCCTGCTGGGCTGTCCGCACATGTGCAGTGGGTCCTGACTGATCTAGGTAATCATGCCCACTGCATTTTCCTTTCCAGGGAGTGCAGCGCAATCCAGTCTTGGCCGGCGAAATGCAGGGGGAAGTCTGTGGGGGTAATTCTAGGAAGGTTTCCTTGCTCTTTCAGGGTGGCGTGCATGAAGAGGGCCCTCTCTTTCTTCGGCACGCTGTTCTATCTCGGAGTGAAGCCTGGAGTGACCACAGGTCTGAAGATAAAGCCACACCCAGGGAACAACGGAGTCAAGAGCAGCAGAGAAACAGAGCTGGACCACGGCGGAGCCTGACTTCTTGTAATATGAACACTTACATCCTTATTACTTCAGTCACTTTGAATTCGGTTTTCTATTCTTTGCCATCAAAACCATCCTAAATGATCCAAGCCACACTCATACCCACATTCATAATTATCATTTGTTTTCTCTTCCAAATTTACCAGTCATTTTTATTTTCAGTTAGTCATAATGTATATATGTTTTGTACCTATCTTTTCTCCTTAACGTCATCATAAGCACTTTTCTATCACTCACACACACACACACACACACACACACACACAGATAATCACTCATAAAAGGCAATAGTAACTGGTTATCTTATTTTCTTCTTAAAAACATCTTCACACAAATAGTCAGATCATACCCTAAGTCACAGTATTTTATATCTGCCTTAGCCTAAAAAGCAGATTGAACTCAATATTTAAAATCCAGCCAAGAAGTCGATCAAATCTGGTATTGCTAATAAATGTTTTTCAGCACCTGCTACACAAAATCAAGATGCAGCATTTAAAAGAAGGGACAGCTTAGGGCTGACCGAGTGGCTCAGTTGGTTAAGAGCTCACTCAAGAGTGCGAGCTCTGAGCAACAGGGTCGCCGGTTCAATTCCCGGCCCAAGCTGAGCTGCCAACAGGTGGCAGGATGGCTCAGCTAAAAAAAAAAAAGAAAGAAGGGACAGCTTTCAGCCAACTTCTTAATTAACATTCACTTCAAACACCAGGTGGCTTTGAAAGAGTACAGCCTGTAAACATGAGTACATAGAACTCTTCCCGGAAATACGCTTTGTCTATCTGAACCAGGAGATTTGGGTGGGCAGTGCCTAGGAACAGATCAGAGTGACATGACAGTCGTTCCTTCTGGTACTGGAGCATTACCGTTCATTGTACCTGTTTCGCCCATCAGTCCAGTCACCTGTGGCTGGGTTCCACTTGGCTGCTATAACAAAGAGGACCTTGTAACCCAGAGTCAAGCAGGCTGTCCATCTGCTGTGACAAACGGAGACTGTAAGTGGCTTCCCTTCCTCGTCAGGAAGCTCTAAGTTATTGCCAAGTATTGTTGGGGAGGGGGAGGTCACTTGTCTGTTAATTCTTCCTGCAGGAATATGAGAATAACCTGACTTGCATTCAGTTAATAACCATATGCTGGCAAGCTAAGGTGACAGCACCCCACACTGGTCAAAGAAACGCCAGTGCTGCCATTTTCTAAACCATACATGGGTGACCACAGGTGTGCCTTATGCTGATCCTAACTAGCAGGGTGAAGTCACAGGATGGTGGGCTCTGCTGGTGATCGGTCGCTCACCACTGTGTATTTATGTGTGCTCTGATGCCCTCCATCGCTGTCCCCGACTCTGGCAAATGGTCTGAAGCATCTAAACCACCTTCACTGCTCACCAGGCATGCACATTCTTGAGCAGATCCAGGGATAGCATGAACTAGAGCCCAGGTGTCTGCATTTTAACAATCCCAGGTGACTTTCCTGCTTGTGAGAATTCACTCCTCGGCTGACTCAGGGTGTTCCATCCCCCCAATGATCCTTAATTACCAATTGGCAAGTTTCACACAACCAGGCCCCAGGCATCACCTTTCTCCTTCTCAGACGTTCCAGCCACCGGGGTGTCCTGCCCTGCTCAACTCACCTGCCCATCCCAGCACTGCCTCAGGGAGGCTTCAACCAGCTCCCCACCTCGGGGCCCCGACTTCCTCATTTCTCTTGATGCAACCCGATATGTGACTCTGGCCTCCAGCTTATTTTTTAAAGGAGGGATCTCATTACTACTAATGTTCTTTTCTTTTGTCCTGGTTGTTTTTTGTAAAGGGAAAAAGAAAGAAAACCCTGAATATTTTCAAATCATAAGAAACTGGAAATTATGTGCATTGGACCAAACATAAGCCCCTTTCTTGTCCTTAGAGGAGTCCTTACGCCACCAAAATAGGACCATTAGACCACACAGATATTTCTACATCTTATATAATTAAAAGACTAGAGCAAAAGGAGCTGTGAAGTGAAAATGCGAGCTCGCTACCTTATAATGACGCCATGAAAATTAAATGAGAAAACTAACATAAAACATGCTTAGCCTAGCGTCCATCAGAGAGTGAATGTTAAGCAGTAAATCCTAGCAGTTATCATCGGGCCATGTTGTCTGGGTACGTTTTCAGAGCTGGAGAAGCCCTTTGAATCAGTCCACTCAAAAACTGCCTTTCTCCAGGTGAGGCAACAGAAGCTCTGGGGCTTAGAGTCTTACCCAACACTACACAGCTCCTGGCAGAGCCAAAACAGACGTGTTCCCTAAACCACGAGTCCATACTCTTTTCACCACGCCGTGATAGCTTTGTACACGCGCCTAAGTGAAATTAGGACCCAAAAGCCGTAGGCTCACAATATGCCAGTGGTTTTGAAGGTATGAGTGATACCCAAGCAGAAAGTGAGAAGTAAGTGACAGAGTGTGTGATCAGGGCTGAGTCTGTGGCAGTAATTCTTCCATCGACAGTCGGCTGCTTTCCTGGCTTTTTTGTGGGTTTTTATTTATTTTTTGGGGGGTGGGGGGAGAAAGGGGCATTTATCTCCCATCTTGGTGGTGTCTTTGCTCCTCTCGTGCTCAGCCCAGGAAGTGCACACAGCTATGCTGTAGTGTTTGCAGTTTGGTGAGATTTAGCTATGGACACACGGCATCGCGAAAAACGTGTGTGCTGCTAGGTTTAAATTTCTACTCAACAGGAGGGGGTAGAAGGAATGAAGGACAAGCTACTCCCCTCGTGTGGAATATAAACTTGAAAGTTTGAGTCGGAAAGAGAACAACACATCACTATAGTGTTCTGACTCTGAGTCCCATTTTTTTCTTTCTGTAGCTATATATAAAACAGGAAACATGAGACATAATAGTAGGAAAGTGAAAAAACTGCGATGTTTACTAAACATGAGCTTTTACTATGAACGGTCTTACAGTAAATGATGAAACAAGCTAGGGCTCTTTGCTTGACATCAGCTCAATTTTTTTACAGCCACATTGGCATTCTGTCCCCGAAACACAAGCACAGCGATGACTTCATCCTGTAGGGTGAAGAATAATTGATCTTAACCTTTCTATCGCTTCCCTTTAACTCACAGCACTAATGCAGCTGAAGGCAGATACATAGAAATGTCTGTGGGAAAAGACGGCACAGTGAAAGCTAACCTCCAAGTCTCCTCCAAGAGGCACAGAGGACACCAGATTTCACAGTCCCAGTTCACGAAAACCCTGCCCCACAGTGTGGATGGAGAGCTGCCACCAGTGTTTTGAAGGAAATTTTAAACTTTGAAGCATGTAAAGCTTTTCACCCTCAGCTATTAAATTTGGGGGTTGGGGGGAAGCTCTCATATTAAACAAAATCCCAAAACAAAGCATTGTTCAAAGGCAGATTTGTCACTTAAATTAAATCTAGTAACGTGATGCTTTTATTACCACAAAACTGAAACATCTTTTCAACTTTATCTCTTTATCAACTAATCCTGATTTTCCACAAATAACACACAGCTAAACAATGCCATTCTGGAAAGCTGCGCTTGACGATCTCAAGTCGCTTCTTCCCTAAGAGTTACTATTTTATCCCTTTCCCCTTTTTCCTTAACTCGCTGGTATTTACCACACTCTGCCTCAGAATGTGAACATTATTTTGACAAGTTTTATTTTGCACAGGAATTTTGCCATACTTTTTCAAATAGAGGTCAATGGTGGAAGTAAGGAAAAAATTTTACCGCATTTTTCTAAATCGGTGTCTATAGGGCGGGGGGAAGGTTACTGGTTGTCATATTAGATTTAATATTTCCCTTTTCAAAACACGTGATTAAGAACTTTATCTCCCCCTTTGTTTTGTCTCTTTTGTGTAAATATGGTAGCACCCTTCAGGCAAGCCATCTAGAGAACGCACACCCACCCGGCGCGCGCGCCCACGCACGGGGTCCAGAGCCGAGACCACGTCCGGGCACCCAGAGCGCAGCACCTGGCATAGAAACCATCACCCCCGACAACCTTCACACGCAAAGCTTCGCCTGGGAAATTAACGCCAAGGTCCCCAAGCACTTGGCTGGTAACGTGCAGCGCAACGCCGGGCAGCGCAGCCCCGTCTGCTCCCAGTCCCGCCGCCCCGAGGCCGCTCACCGTGTCCGCAGTCGCAGTAGCCCCAGTCCCCCCGGCCGCGAGCGTTCCGGTAGAAGCACCAGGGTCTGCCCGCACCGTCGGGGCTCCGGCAGAAGTTGTGGCGCTGCCCTCGCAGCGGAGCCCAGCCGGCCGGGGGCGACCGCTCCAGGAGGGGTGGCACGTCCGCCCAGCGCAGGCACGGAGCGCCGAAGTCCGTCACGTTGACCCAGGGCCGGCCGGCGGGGCAGCCCCCGGGGCCCGGCCGCGTCGCTTGCCCCGCGTGGAGGGCAAGTGGGCTCTGCGCACGGGGCGCCGGCGCGGGGCGCGGGGGGCGCGCCGGAGGGGACAGGGGCGTCCTCCGCGGCCGCTGCGGGGTGGGGAGGTAGTAAGCAAACTGGGGACTCGGAAAGGGAGGGTGGCGGTGGCGGTGGCGGAGGGGATAACGGAGGACCGGGTCAGAGCTGACCACTTCGGGGAGCGCCCCTAAAATCAGAGCCACCACGAAGCGGACGGGCGTCATGGTGCCCGAGCAGCGAGCTTTGGTCCATGCTCCCTGCCCCTCCGGTCCTGAGGGAGGAGAGGGCGGGGCCCATCCCCGCGCGCCCCGGCTCCCGCCGCTCGGAGCGCGGGGATCTCGAGCTCCGCTCAGCGCCGCCGGCGGAGGGGCGGGCGGGAGCAGTGGCCGGAGCCCAGGTAACCGGCGGCTGCAGGAGCCGAAACGCCGCCCCCTGGCTGCCGGCGTGCACGCTGCTCGGCCCACCCGGCCCCGCCGTCCTTCCGCCGGGCCGCCCAGACCCACTGCTGGCGTCGCCGCGGCCTGTCTGCGCCCGAGCCAGGGTGGCAGCGCGGGGGACGGTCCCGAGCGCCCAGTGCCAGCAGGCGGCACCGCCTCGGCTCGAGCCCAAGCCAACGCCTGGCACCAGTCCCTGCAGCCATCTCCCCTTCACGCCCCATGCCATGCCTGGTTTCCGCCGTTTTGAAGTCTTCAGAAGGAAAGTGTGAATGGCTCTAGCTGCATCTCAGCCCTGACAAGTCCCAGGATAAAAGTATCAACGCCACGAGGAATGCTGAAACCATTTTGCTGGGCTGAGCTCCTGCGGGACAGGACCGCGCTTCGTCCGCCTGATGTCCTCGTGTGAACACCGCGCCCAGCATGGTTAGGCGCCAGGACACACTCGCTGAAACTCAGTCCCTGCACCGACCCACCCGGGGGAAGGGACGTGAGCCCTTCTGCTTCCTGCCTCCCACTCTCCTCCCGATGCCCTGGACACCAGTTGTCTGGTTATTATTGGGACTCTGTGAGGCCCTCTTAATACCAAATTTCCTTTCTAACCAGAGAGGGCTTCATCCGTCCGGATCTCCAGCCCTCTAACACCTGCTCGTGGTTTGCAGGGCCAGGGGCGCACTGGCTGAGCCCGCTCAGTCGCCCCTCCAAAGCCGAGGCTGCCTGGGGCACATTGTAGCTGCTCTTGGGTCACCCTCAGTTCACCAGAGCCCTTTCAAAAACCTGCCTGTCCCCCCCCCCCGCCCCCGCAAAAAAAGGTTGCTTTAGAATTTTTTTTAAATCACTGGGGTTGGATGTTTTCAGGTTTTTGTTGCTCTTGACTATGCCACGTAAGTTGAATAGGGGAAAGGAAGGCCATGGAAAGGTCATATTTTACTGTCTGGTGTGATCATGTTGTAAAGACCACTGTCCCATAATACACTGCACCCTGAAGAAAATGTGAGCAGAACTTAAATGTTTATTGTTAAAACCTAGGTTTCAATTAGAAGGTGAATTAATTCCCTACACCGAGTTCAAATAATCCATCATAGTTTAACTTTTGCAAATCAGCTTATTGTTTCTTCTCTCCATTAATGAAATATTTGATTTTACTTTAATTCTCCCTGGATGAACATATTTATTTAAGATGTTTTCATTCAGGATGCTCTTACCCCCAGTTTTGGGTTTTTACTGAAACCAAAAGCATAGTTGACAGTGTGCCTGGGGCAGAGAGAGGAAGATAAAATGCATGTCTGGGAGAGGCTGGCTTGCGTGTCTTGTAGGGGTCCACAGAGTTCACCAGTCAGACTCTTGACATACTTGGTGACAGAGAGGACGGGAGTCACCCGTGTCCTCGCCACCTTGCCACTCCCGTGCTGGCCCAGGGCAGGCTCATGCTGGGTCCTGGCCGCCGGCCCAGCCCCAGCTCCTCTCCCTCCTCTCAGGGTTCCTACACCCACTGCTCTCACACTTCCCGGGGGGCTGCAGGCAGACCCAGCTCCCACACATCGAAGCACCGCAGAGGAGAGAGTGAAGCGGCTGTGGGAGGGGGTTCCAGAGAGCAGGGCCCTGGGCCAGGCTGGCCTGTCCCCCAGCTCCTGGCAGCTAGGGGACCTAACGGGTTTCTGAGGCCTGCTTACCGAACAGACTACAAAGTGGATCTCCCCACAGAAACTTCCACATCTGGATTTCATCGTCCAAGTTCTAAAACATACCTTCCTCAGAGAATAAAATGGCAGGTATGTAATTGGACTATGAATTTAGGGGCCTCAATGTGGCTTTTGTCCTCTGTTTTACAGGCAAAGGACGACTTAAACAGACGGGCTGTGTTCGTATGACTCCCCTCCTGCTGTACGTCCCTTCCCTCACTTCTCACACCCCACCTTGCTGCTACCAACACAGAGGTAGGGTTTGCGACTCCCAGTCCACCTCCATCGCGGCAGTGTGTGTGTGTGTGTGTGTGTGTGTGTGTGTGTGTGTGTGTGTGTGTGTGTGTGTGTGTGTGTGTGTGTGTGTGTGTGTAGCGGGAGGGTGTTACAGGGAGCAATCCCCTCCTGCCTCAGCTAGGTGCTGTCTAGCCACAGCTCCCCCTCAGATTCTCACACCCTCCCTTTCAGACATCAGAGCCAAAGAAAGGGGGGTGGGAGCAACCCCATCTTGTTACAGCTGTAAGAGCCCCACTGTTGCTTCTGTCCGCCTTCCAATCCCTCAGCAGCAGCAAAGGAGTGAGGAAAGGGCACTGAGAGAAACAAATGCCATCCTGCAGGGTTTCCCTCACATACTTAAGAGAGCCCAGGAGGCCCCACAATCCTTCCTGTCACCTAGAGCACTCCAATTCCATCAAGCAGCCTTGCTGATTTAGGGCCTATGAGCTCACTTGGCCTCTCAGGCTGGAACCTAGGAGGTGGTGAGGGGAGTCTCCCTGCCCCATGGCAGCAGGCAAGGTGGGCAAGGTGGGCAGCCTTGGCATGGAGGTGAGGTACTCACACATCAGCTGATCTGTACTTTCCAATGGCAACTGTGTTCTGTATGCAAATTTGGTTTTATGGTGGTTGGGGGGCATCAGTTTACTTCACATCCATATGGGCTGAATAACTCTTGTGTAGTTTGATTTGGAAATATAACCAATATGCATATTATTTTTACAGAGTTCCAAAAACCAATATACAAAATAACTTTTGGGAAAGTTCCATTTATGATTTGGGTACTGCCTGTTTTTGGAAAGGCTAAGAGCTTTTAAACATATGGTATAAAAGCAGTATTTATTATACTTTTACAATTCTAAGTGCAGAAAAATTGTTAAAAGAACACTGGGTGTGGCTCTTTCACATAAAGAGGGAAAAAAATCAAATTATCTCAATGGTCTATTTAGGGATGTAGGAGATTTGAAATAATAAGGCATTATTAGTCCTTTAGATGGGGTGGGGGGATACAATAAAAGAACATGCGTGATATGACCAAACAATACGGTAAATGTTTATATATATATATATATATATATATATATATATATATATATATATATATATTACAGTAAAGACATATTGCCATTAATCCCTCAAAATACACCCTCTCACTTCGAACACACTTATCCCATCATTCTTGCCACTTTCTGAAGCAGTTCTGGAAGTCCTCTTTTGTGAGTGTCTTTAGATAAGCTATCATGGCTGCCTCCAAGTCCTCAGTCGATTCAAAGCATTTACCTTTCATGATCATTTTGACTTTGGGGAAGAGCCAGAAGTCGCACATTGCCAGATCCTGTGAATAAGGTGGATGAGGACACACCATAACGTTTTTATTTGTCGGAAATTGCCGTATCAGAAGTGATGTGTGACATGGAGCATTGTCATGATGGAGGATGAAGTAAAGACACTAACAAAAGAGGACTTCCAGAACAGCTTCAGAAAGTTGCAAAAATGATGGGATAAGTGTGTTCGAAATGAGGGGGAATATTTTGAGGGGGATTGATGGCAATGTGTCTTTTACTGTAATATATATATATTTTGTATTTTAAACATTCACCATATCTTTTGATCATACCTCGTATAATGTTTAGTTAAAAGTTCAAGAAAATGAAACATCCAGAAAGTAAGCAAGCAATTGGTAAATGAAGGGTACAGTGATGCAGAGGTAGGAGGTCTCTGGCAGTGGAGGCCAAGTTTACACCTGTGCCTTATGTTGGCCACACTTTCTGGCAGTTGTCAGCCATGAAGGTGTCTGAGGCCCCATGACTGGAACAGCTGTCCTACACATAACCACGTACAGGGCTGATGTCCAAGGGCAAAAGAAGGGTCCTGCTGAACTTGTCGTGTCCATAATGCTCAAAAGAGTCACTTATCTCCACTTTTCTCATTGTTTAAATTGAATTTTATAAAACAGAATAATGTTTTTAGTGGCAAAATCCTTATATGGAAATTAATTCTACAGATTCATTTCCAAGGTTACTCAAATTATACAAGGTTGGACAAGTAAGTTCACAAACTCATCCTAGAAAATGTGCTACATGCCTCACTGCTGAATGTCACTATGGTCACCTTCGAAATACCCCCCTTGGGAAGCTATGCACCGACGCCAGCACCTAGTCCACCCTTCAAAGCAATTTTGGAACTCTTTTTCTGGAATGGCCATCAGAGAGGTCATTGTATTACCCTTGATGTCCTGAATGTCATAAAAATGTCTTCCTTTCAATATTTCCTTTATCTTTGGGTAAAGGAAGAAGTCACTGGGGGCCAGATCAGGTGAGTAGGGTGGGTGTTCCAACACAGTTATCTGTTTACTGGCTAAAAACTCCCTCACAGACAGTGCCCTGTGAGCTGGTGCATTGTCGTGATGCTAGAGCCATGAATTGTTGGCGAAAGGTTCAGGTTGTCTAACTTTTTCACGCAGCCTTTTCAGCACTTCTAAATAGTAAACTTGGTTAACTGTCCAGTTGGTACAAATTCATTATAAATAACCCTCTGATATTAAAAAAGGTTAGCAACATCATTGCAACAAGTTCGTAAACTTCATTGTCAAACCTCGTATACACTAATAGATGAGGAATATAGAGCGAGATCTAGAGAGATAGATATGGACATGGATATGGATTACATGGATATGGACATAGACATAGACAGACATAGACATAGATATTGAAAAAAAAGTTCCTTCAGCCTTGGAATCAAGCTGGCGCTCAGTCTGGCTCAGTTCTTACTTGCTGTGGGATCTAAGGCGGGTCCCCTTGCTTCCTGGAACCAAAGGCTCAGCATCTGTGGCAAAGGGACAGTAACTGTCCCTGCATGAGAGCTCTCTGAGGGGTAATGGAGGTAACGCATGGAA